CAAATAAAGTAAGAATATACATTTAATTAAACATGACTAGAAAGTTATTTAAAAGAGAAAATTTAAGTTTTAATTAATTTGATACAAACACCAACGATGAATAAGTTATAGCACAGCTAAAATAAAAGTGTTATAAAATTATGATATTCTTCTCCCTCGTTGTGTAAAATAATGAGTGTATTCTTCTTGGGCTCGGAGGCTTTCACCAGAAGGGGTTTGGGCTTTTTTGATGAGCTTTGGGTTTAACTTTGTGGCTTGGGCTGTTGAGTTTTGGGTTACGGTTTGGACCGCCAGAATTGAAAGGTATTGGTGGCAGATCTTAGTGAAATATACCGGCTAAAATAAACAATAAATTTGGCTGGCTATTTGTGTAATTAGCCATTTTTTTATCCCTGCCACTAAATTATTAGCCACAATTTAAAAAGTTATTAGACTTTAGCCATTCTATTTAAACGCGGATATATTTTGGACAAATGAACCCCAACACACCGAACAATTCTAGCAATTATTGCTGGATTTCAAATATTTTACAAGTGAAACTCCAGCACAATATACTGAAATCCGTAAAACTCTCTACAGGTGAAATTAAAAATATACGGTACTGAATTTTAGAGCTTTTAAAAGTAAAATTTTAGTATTGTACTGGAATTCAAACCTTTATAGGTTCAAACCCCAGCAATGGTACCTTATTATTTTGAACTTCAGAACACAATTATGGAGTTCTAACTTCTACAAGTTGAAACTCCGAGATATTATCCTTGAGCTTAAGAGAGGTACCATTAGTGAAATATTCCTTTTAGGTTTAAATCCCATCAACAATTATTGGGGTTCAAAATTCAACCCTTTATAGATTTAAACATCACTAATGATTACTAGGATTTTAATCCTTTCATATTGTTTCAGATACCTTATATTGAACTTCGATCTGGAATCATTCTTGAATTTTACACTAGCAAAGCCTAAAAAATCAGGAATCGTTCTTGGGATTTCGAACTCCAATGTTAATTGTTGGTTAACTATATTTGACTAACATATTATCACAGGTTAAACTATATCAGTTGTATAAGAAAATATTTACATGATCCGCGTATATAATTTAAATCATTGAAAGATTTCATAAAATTGGGCAAATGATACTCTTAGGCCTTCACCCTACACTGGTTTATTGTTGTCTTTCATTCTTTCTCCTAACTGTCGTCTTTCAGCTGGAGTTCAATGAAAATAGCCCATATCGTTGGGGGTACTTAGATTTAATGATGTTCAATTTCTTATATACGAAATGATTCATTTCATTTCAGCACGTAACATATCTTTTTTTCTGTTGGGTAAAGAATGGGAAAGTGATGTAGAAAAAGGGTTTAAGGATCTTAGGGCTATTTTTGTCAATTTTACTGTTCTATCCTGGGATAATAATCCCAGGATTAATTATCCCACCCCTACAAGGTATTGTTATCCCGGTACTAATTTTAATCCCGGGATAATTTATCCCAAATTTGATAACCACACAAGGTATAAGGTAATATTAAATTTTTATCCCAACACTATTTTTACTTATCCCTCATATCAAACTTATCCTAAGAGTATATAGCAAGTTGTATCTGGTCTTTAGTTACTTACCTGAATTTAGGAAAGTAAATTTTAGGCGAAATACATAAATGGCCCCTCCAAGTTGTCCATAACGGTTATTTGAACACCTCAATAGACCTATTTATCAAGTAGACACCTCAAGTTATTTTTCAATGTATCACTTAAACCCTTCAAAGTGACATGGCAAAATGTGTGTACTACACTCGCCTTGCAGCAAGTGAAGCCTTTCAAAATTATGTTTATTTCTTCTTCTTTTTTTAATTTAACTGGTGGAGCCCACTTTTCTTCACTCTTTCTTCTCCAAACCATCCTACCTTCTGCCCAAACAAACCCATCTGCAATTCTGTATCCCCTATTCCCTTTTCCCTAAATCATCCTCCCTTCAAACTCCTGTCAGACCCCTTCCACTTTACCTTCCCAGTTCCCACCTTCTTCTCCGACACACCCTACACCCAAAACCTATCCTATCCTTATTCAAAAATTAAATCTAATTTTTTTTCTTAAAATGAATAAAAATATAAAAAAATATAGAATAGCCAAGCGAATAACCTAGTCACCCAAGAACCTCGCCGAAAATTCTCATCCTGTGGCCTCTCTAGCCGGAAAAGCTCATCGCTGGAAAAATTTGAAAGAATCTACTCTATTGGAATCTTTAATTCTAAAATTGATTTTAAGAGAGGAACATGAGTTAGAAGATAGGGCGATTACCGGTTGGGTATTTTTCGGCGGAATTCCGATGAGATTTTTCACCATTATTGGGTCTGATAAGTTGTAACAGAGTGTTTTGTGGGTGAGGGGGGCTATGGAGGAGAAAATAAATAAGAAAAAGATCACCGGAATATGTTCCAACCACCATCGACTCCGGTCATCTCTTTCTTTTACAGTGGTCTCCAAGTTTTTGTCATAGACTCATGGTCATTAGCCTTTCTCGTGAGAGGAAACGAGACAGAAGGGTATTGGTCGGAAGGGGTCTTCTTTGACATCGAAAGATGAAGTTGGAGGTGGGGGGAGGGGGAGGAGGAGAAAGGGACGCTGGAGAAGTGTTTTTTCTTCTTTAGATTTATTTTAATTTTTGGTTAATATTAAAAGTACAAGAGGGGGAGGGGTGAATTGTAAATACTTCAAATTAATTGCTTATAAGTTGACTTATAACTTGAGTAGTCGGCTGAATATGATAATTTAGCAGATATGGTAACGGAAAGTAAAGTGCAGAAAATAATTGCAGGAATTAAAAACACCGGGATTTTTATACTGGTTCGGATTCAATGTAAATCATAATCCAGTCCCCTTGGGTTGCAAGGGAGTTCTCTTCAGTAAATGAGTTTCTTCCGAGTACAGATGTGGTGTATATCGCTCAGTTTCTCTATCACTCGTTTTTGATACAATGCCTCACCAGTTGTGTGCTCTCTTTCTATCCCCGACTTGTTACACAGCAGATCTTAGTGAACTATAATGCTTGTTTGCAGTAGAATAAATAGAGTGATTTGGTTTGATCAAAGTATATCTGAGCTAGGGTTTACAAGGGAGTATAAATACTTTGATGGATGGTAGAGGCTTGACAACCCAAGAGATTTGATCCTTGGAAAGAATTGATTCTTTCCAAGAATAAGGAATGAGCCGTTGCTTCTCTTGATTGCTTTCCTTCAGCAGAGGATTGCTTCACTTGATTTCTCCTTGATTGTTGGATCTTCCAAATGTGGTCGCTTCCTAGATCTCCTCGTATCCTTTAGTCTTCCGTGATTCTGCCCATGATTCGTGCCTTTGTCCAAGGCTTATTTGATTTTCTCCAGCTCAGCTAATCATTGTTATTGTTGATTGATTCGTTGATTAGATTACGCCCAGATTTACGAGACCACTCCAGATTTGTTGATCACATGCTGATTGATTTCTTTCTTTGTACATCATGAACCATTCCAGCGGTCTTCTTTACTTCTTGAACTTGATTTCCTGCACATGTATATTATTTGCATCATTAAAACATGATCTAACAATCTCCCCCTTTTTGATGATGGCAAAATATTATAATAAGGTGAAGAAGTAAACACCAGTCGACTTCCCTGTGTTTTACCAGTCGACTTGACTCCCCCTCAATGTATGCAGTCGACTTGACCGGTCCATGACACTCCCCCTCAATGTGTGCAGTCAACTTGTACCGACTTGTACCTGTACAGTATACAATATATGCTACCTATACACATATAAAATGTGTGCAGTCGACCTGTACACATACACATATAGACACATAGTCGACTTGTACCTGTACACATACACATAACATAGGCAAAATAACATAGGCTTTTTCTCCCCATTTTTGTCATCAGCAAAGAGGGATCATAAACATAGATAACAGCAAAGCAGAAAAGGTAAAGAGAGTATCCAGCGGCTGGTGAAATAGCTCACAGTAGCCACAAAAAAAAACAGAATTATCCAAGGGCTTAAACTACAGCCCACAATACCACCTAAATAAGTTGTCAAAAAAAACATCCATACTAGCGGCGCAGGAAATAGGTAAGGGTGTTGCAGATGGACTCCTTTAACTGTTCAAAGCTATTATTTGCAGCGATGCTCATACCATCCAGCCTGTCGTGAACCTCCTTGAAGGCTTTGACAGCATTCTCCCTTACTCTGAGAACAGCAACTCTGATTTTTGACACGTCAGACCCTGTTTCCGTTGAAAGAGCATGAATGTCACCCACAGTGGACTAGGGGTGGGCATTCGGTACTTCGGTTCGGTATTTAATAATTTCGGTTCGGTAATTCGGTATTCGGTTTATCAATTGTGTATACCAAATACCATACCAAAATATTTCGGTACGGTTCGGTTTTTCTTATTTTGGTTCGGTACGGTTTCGGTACGGTTTCGATTTAATAATCGCTAAAATTTAGCTAACGCCTAAGTCCTAACAGTGCACTGTCCAGATGCATAATTGTTGCAGCAAGCCAGCAACGTTTGAAATTGAAACCAGCAACGTTTGAAGTTGCAACACATGCATAATTTTCTATCCATACACAAATACAAATCTAACGCCACACAGAAAGTCAGAAACAATACATACTAAACACCAGATGCTATAGATTTATAGCATCTAAAATCTATAAGTCAGAAACAATAAAAAACAGTCAACAATGTTTGTACATACTTACTTAACTTTGAAATTGAAACAATACATACTTAACAGATGCAGCAGCAGTCTAAACTTTGAAATTGAAACACTACATACTAAACTCAAGTTAAGTTTGAAATTGAAAGTTGAAACAATACATTACATACTTAACAGATGCAAACAGTCAACACTGTTCACTGTTGCAGCAGCAACAGTCTAAACTTAACAGATGTAAACTAAACAATACATAATAAACTTAACAGATGCAACAGCAACACTGTTGCAGCAACAACAGTCAACACAATAGTCATTGCGAATCACCAGATGCAAACAGTCAACACTGTTGCAACTACACATTATAGACTTGACCACAATGCTTGAACCTAAAAAAATATAAATCATAAGTTAGAATATAATATTTTGATGATAAAAAAACAAAACTACAAAAGTATTAAGTATATCACCAAATAAAATGAGTATTAAACTTACCTCTCAAGATGCAAGTTGCAACTATACATCAAACAATGCTAGTTGTGCTTCCATTATTTTCCATATCTATAGATAATTCGACCAAATATGTCATACAAATGAAAAAGCATGATATATTATTTTGAACTAAAATACACGCAAAATATTAAAGCTTACCGAGCTCGAGTTCCTCAAGATACTTCAAGTCTTCTTCAACACTAATAGGATTGTTCTCTTCTCTAAGCCAATCTTGAACACAAATAAGAGCTTCCACACATTTAGGAGTCAATGAACTCCTAAATGAATCAAGGATACGGCCACCGGTGCTAAATGCGCATTCTGACGCCACACTAGAAATTGGAATGGCCAACACATCACGAGCCAACTCCGAAAGAATAGAAAATCTAGGAGCATGTGTTTTCCACCAACTCAAGATATCAAAGTCTTCACTAAAAGGTTCTTGTTCTTCACTAATGTATTTATCCAACTCCGATTTAGCACCCCCATCCCCATTGTCTTCCTTTTGTTTCTTCAAGCTAAGCTTAGTCCTTATTTTTGATGCACTTATAACATTCCCACTAGATGTGTTAGATGTGTTGCTAGATGAAGTAGATCTAGATGGAGATTGAGGACAAGATGCAGTTGAATATTTTTTTAGATACTCTCCAAACAAAGAATTCATATAAGCATACACCTCAACATTTATTTTCTTTCCTTTTTCCTCCCCAAAAAGTTCTTCAAGTGCTCCCTCAACATATTCAAATTTGTTACGTGGATCCAACACAGAAGCAATAAAAATCATTTTATTCATCTTTTCAGGCTCACCCCAATATTTCTTGAACTTTTCTTGCATTCGCTCAGCCATTTTTCTCAAATGCTCATCCTCACTAGCTAAACACATTTTCAAATGACAATAAAGTTCAGATACATCCTCAAAATGAGAACTACAAGTGACATAACGTGAACCTGAAACTTTTTTAGTTAGCTCGTGAAATCTTGCAAGAAACTCTATCACATTCCTCACATTCACCCAATCATCAGAATCAAGAGGACCTACACTACTACCATCTTCACAAACATGAGAACATTGATAAGCAGAAAATCCATCATCAAAAAGATGAAACTTGTCAAAGGCCATTTCAAATTTTTGTGCCGTGTCCAACATCAAATAGGTGGAATTCCACCTAGTAGGAACATCCAAACACAATGTTTTGGTACATTCTACCTTTACATGTGCACAACACTGTTTAAACTTTAAGGTCCTTGCAGGCGAAGATCTCACATACCTCACAACATTTCTAACACGTGTCACAGAAGCATCAAGTTCTTTTAAACCATCTTGCACAATTAGATTTAGTATATGAGCCATGCAGCTCACATGAAGATGCTTACCACTCATCATATTAGTTTTCCACATATCTAACTGTTTAGACAATTCTTTAACTGTGACATCATTTGAAGAAGCATTGTCCACGGTAATAGTAAAAACCTTGTCTAATTTCCATTCAAGCAAACAATCCCTAATAACTTTAGCCATCTCTTCACCCTTATGACCAGTAATAGGGCAAAAATCTAGTATTCTTTTATGCAACTTCCAATCCTTATCAATGAAGTGGGCTGTCAAACACATATAATTTATTCTTTGTAGTGAAGTCCATGTGTCTGTTGTGAGGCAAATTTTTGGTTGTGCTTCTCTAAAAGACTTTCTTAGATTTTGCTTCATTTCACTGTAAACTTCATAACAATCCCTTGTTATTGTTCTACGAGAAGGAAGACGAAATAATGGTTGAGTTTTTCTCATAAACTTCATAAAGCCTTCATTTTCTACAAAGCTAAATGGTAGTTCATCAATAACTATCATCTCAATTAAGGCCCTCCTAACAACTTCTTGTTCAAATTTCCAAATTGATCCTTCGTCATTTTGGCAAGATTGAAAATTTATCTTTGTTTGACTATTATCTTTATCAATGTTAAGTGGGTATTCTTTGCATCTAAGCAAATGATTCTTCAATCCTGTTGTTCCATTCCTAGATGAATTAGCCGCATAGGCTTGTTTACAATATCGACATCGTGCTTTCCCAACCCCATTAACCTCAAATTTATCAAAATGGTTCCAAACGTCAGACCTAGGTTGCATGGCTTTCCTTTTTCTAGAATCTTGGGTATCAATGGTGTTGGTGTTACTATCTACCGTAATAGGTAAACTTTCACTTGAACCAGCATCACTTACTCTACTTGTATCTGCCATCTATACAAAATTAAACAAATATAAACACAAATTAACAATCATGGGGTACAATCATAGGGTAGCAGACTTAACAAGAAAGCCAAACATTCACATTTCTTCCAGATTCGACAACCTTGTTTTATGAACCAAGAGAATGAAAACAAAAAAGCAGAATAAGTTTTCTTTAGTGCAGTTTTTTTGCCAAGACAATGCTAATAACCAAGCGAGAAGAGTTGATAGTCAGATAAATCAAAGCCTCATTTTCCTTCTTTCTGTTCTGTTAACATCCTTGAGACCACGGGTATTCTGTTAACACAGAATTTGATCACTTCGACATATACATTATAACCTTGAAATGTTTTACTATGACCATTTTTAGCATTTGTATTTATAATATAATCTTCAACTGTTTTACTAATCAGTCTTCTTTGCAATTCAGCTGTTTCATTAAACTGCATCATGATTAACTTTCCACATTGATGATTTTTGGACCCCCGACTAAAAGAAACTGGTTGGAAAAGATTAGCTAAGTACAGCAGAATTAGCATGCAAGAGACTTAAATGGATCCTTAAGTCAGTAATACACACACAGACTTTTTTTTCTCTGTCTTTGGGGTGTTTAAAGTGGAAGAAGGGGACTGCTGCTAGGTAAAGTGTGTATTTTTTGACACAGCTCGGTACACAACAACAGGTCAACAGGGGATAAGGCAAACATCAGTCGATACCAAGTTCTTGCTTTAATGTTCTCATAATTTCAAATGTTAAATAGAGACAGAATTTCGGACAGATTTAAACTGAGTTTAGGATCAAAATGAATCTAAGCTAAGTAGTACTGCTTCTGTGGCTTCGATAATCCTAAAGCATTTACAAACATTCTCAACACAAATGATTTCACAGTCCTAATTTGGTATCGCTAGAAAGTAGAAATCGCTAGAAAGTAGAAACATACCTTTGAAAATTGAAGACTGGGGAGTGAGGAGTCGGAGCTAGGGGTGCGAAGTCGGAAATCCCCCAAAATCCCAATCGCCGACGCCAAATCGTAGTCGGAGCTGCTGACTGCTGAGCTTGGGCGATATCGTCCACTTTCTCTCACTATACTTGCTACAAAGTTAGGGCAACTGGGCAAGGGTTCTGGTTTGTTAATTTGTTTCTTCTAACTCTAAGTCAGACTTAAAGAAGATGGGTGGGCTTGGGGCTGGGCTGGGCTAGAAATAAAATAAAGAAGGGTGGGTGGGCTTGGGCGTTGGGCTGGGAATGGGTAGGGTAGTGGACTGTGGACTGGCCTATTTAAAATTCGGTATTTCGGTATAACCGAAANTGAATGATAGGCAAAAATACTATATAAGGTCGAAGAGTTAAACACCAGTCGACTTTTCCCATGTTTTTACCAGTCGACTTGACTCCCCCTCAATGTGTAGCAGTCGACTTGTACCGACTTGACCTGTACAGTATACAATATATGACTACCATACACATATAAAATGCGTGCAGTCGACATACACATATAGACACATAGCGTTTTGACCTGTACACACATACATAACATAGGCAAAATACATAGTCTTTTCACCCCCTTTTTGCATCAGCAAAGAGGGATTATAAACATAGATAACAGTAAAGCAGAAATGGTAAAGAGATTATCCAGTGGCTAGGTGAAACAGCCCACGAGTAGCAAAAAAAATGAAATCATCCAAGGGCTTAATCTACAACCCACAATACCACCAAAACAAGTTGTCAAAAAAAAACATCCACACTAGCGGCGCATGAAATAGGTAAGGGTGTTGCAGATGGCCTCCTTTAACTGTTCGAAGCTAGTATTTGCAGCGATGCTCATACCATCCAGCCTGTCGTGAACCTCCGTGAAGGCTTTGACAGCATTCTCCCTTACTCTGAGAACAACAACTCTGATTTTTGACACGTCAGACCCTGTTTCCGTTGAAATAGCATGAATATCACCCACAGTGGACTGAGTGGCGGAAAGAAGATTCTTGATGTCAGAGAGTTTGGAGTCAATAGAGCTAAGTTTTTCACTAAGCTCAGAACTGACAAGAGTAGGAGGAGGAACAACTGATGAAGGTTTAGTTTCCATAGGGGCCTGCTTTGCTTCACTCTCACTTTTCTTAACCCAGGAGCCCTTGATACTCACATAGCCCATACTAGAAAAAGCTCTAGAATTATAGGACTTGCAGACAGTAATGAAGGAATAGTTGGATAGAGAAATTTGATAGGCTTCCAGAATATGAGAGATTGCCATGCCATAGGGTAAACTAGTGGGATCTTCAGCACTTTCTATCATGAAATTGATGACCCAGGAGGAAAGCTTGAGTTTGAGTTTGGTTATGAGGCAGTAGACAAAGAATGTATCCCTTTGAGAGAAAGTTGAAAAGGAACCAGTACGGGGAAGCAGAGTGGTTGCCACAATATGGGCTAGAACCCGAGTTTCAAAACTTACATCACTGGGGCCCAATTGGTTTGGAAGAATTTCAGAGGGACACTCAACAATGCACTGTTTGGCTTGGTCAAAAGAAATTTCAAAATCCTCAGGCCACACATTTTTAAAAAGAGTAGGGAAACCAGAGCAATGACATTGGAAAAGAGAGTCAAACAAGGCACAATCAAGAACAATGTGCTTACCTAGCACTAGAGATTCTAGCCTATCTGGTTTACTGGAGCGAAGATTTGCATAAAACATTTTGACCGGGGGTTCATATACACTAGGCGGAGGAATAGAGAGGAATTTTTCCCACCCTTGATAAACAAAGAGCTCTTTAACCTTACAGTTGAGGGCTTCCATATCATCAAGATCCACGATCCTTCCATGGGCGATGGGCTTGTCCTTAAGAGTAATGAAAAGATCCCTATTTAGGGTATCCCAGAAATTTAGGTCAGTCTCGAGTGAGGCAGAGAAATCAACTTTTGATTTCTTTGGGGTGGATGGAATTGGAGGATCTTCCATGGGTCGTTTGCCTAAGGCTTTTTCTCCTAGAAGTTGGGAGTGTTCAGAGAAATCACCCTGAGATGAGGCGAAGCCTTCAGAGTGATCAGACCCTAGGTCTACTTGCTCAGGAGGCG